TGCTGGGCTCCTGCGATCCTTCCGCCTCAGCCTTCCGAATAGCCAGAACCACAGGCGCACGCTACCACACCAAGCTAATTTTTTTTTTAAGTGTAGAGACGAGGTCTCACCATGTTGCCCAGGCTGGTCTCGAACCCACTGGCTCAGGCAATCCTCTAGCCTCGGCCCCCCAAAGTGCTGGAATTACAGGCTTGAGCCACTATGCCCGGCCTGTTTTTACTTTATAAATATAATTAGGCACTGTTTCTCTGGAGAGACTCAAAGCAGGTGGTATAATAGTAAGGTGGACCTAATTCTGAATTATACCCCAATTCTTTAAAGCATAAAAAAATTTAATTTAATTTAAAAATACTAAGGTGTAAAAGTCCCATGTGTGAATACATGAAACATATTAATTGGGTGAAAATCATACCTCCTCTCTGAGTCTCACTTATAAAATGAACAGTTAGAATTGACCATTATTGTACCATTTCTTCTAATCATATGATTTTATAATTAATTATTAAGGATCATTTTTCTGAAAACAGTCTCACTTCCCAGGAGTAATCAGGTGGTATGTTCTTTCTCTCAGGCTACCTGGGAAGACAAATTACTCAGTGAGGAACCATTGGAAGAAGGGTATTCAATCAAGATATCATACTTGGGGTGGGAAGACTGGTGGGTTGATTGGTTGGCTGATGGTCTCTTGTAATGGAAAAGAGTACAATATATGAAAGAGCAGGTCCTCTAGGATTGTATCCCAAATAATGATTTCTGAGTCCCAAAGGCATGAGAAACAGTATGTTTATGGCATAAAATGGTGAATATTCCTTTCTAATAACTCAACTATTCCAGGAAAGTAATTTTGGAGACTTTGGAGAGTGGGTTAATATAGAACTCTGTGGAGTCAGTTTATTCCATCAAAGTGGAAACTCTGAAAATTGATTACTTGGGCTTTTTCATTAAGCTCCCCACCCTTCAACCATTCCATTATTCATCTACACTTCTCCAGAGACTTCAGGAAAAATCACGTTGCTGCTAATAAAGCTACAACTGGGTATGATGGCTCGTGCCTGTAATCCCAGCGCTTTGGGAGGCTGAGGCAGAAGAATTGCCTGTGTCTAGGAAAATTGCTTAAGACCAGCCTAGACAACATAGCAAAACTTCGTCTTCACAAAAAACATAAAACATTTAGCCATATGTGGTAGTGCTTCTGTGTAGCCACTGCTATTCAGGAGGCTGAGGCGGAAACATCGCCTGAGCCCAGGAAGTTGAGGCTTTGGTGAGCTGTGATCGTGTCACTGCACTCCAGCCTGGATGACAGAATAAAACTCTAACTCAAAAGAAAAAAAGATCTTACAGTCTGGTAGTAGAAAAGAAGAAATGCTATGTGAATTTGTCAGTATATAATGGAGAGTGTCCTAACCTGTTATTCACATTAAGCATGTATATTTCAGAACAAAGGGCAGGAAGCTCAGACCTCATGATTCTGGTTCTTGGTTCCTTTGATCCTGAACTTGGTCTCTGATCTGTAGCAGGGAAAGTGATTGATTTATGATTCATAAATAACAATCTGGAAATCACTTATTAAGCACCTTATTCAAGGAAGATGGTAAATAAATGTCTTTTAAATTCACCATTGATTGGAAAGTAGGACAACTTTAGAACTTGGATGCTCAAAACTTTGTTTTTTATGCTTCCTTAAAAACTATCAAGAAGCTGGGCATGGTGGCTCACACCTCTAATCCTAGCACTTTGGGAGGAGGAGGCGATAAGATTGTCTGAGCCCAGGGGTTCAAGACCAGTCTGGGCAACTTGGTGAGACCTCATTCCTAAATCAAAAAATTAGTCAGGCATGGTGGCATATACCTGTGGTTCCAGTTACTTGGAAGGTTGAGGCAGAAGAATCACCTGAACCCAGCAGGTCAAGGCTGCAGTGGTCTTGAGTTTATCACTGCCCTCCAGCCTGGGTAAGAGAGTGAGACCTCTTCAATTCAAAAAAAACACTGGCCGGACTTGGTGGCTCAACCTGTAATCCCAGTAGTTTGGGAGGCCAAGGCGAGTAGATTACCTGAACCCGTGAGTTCGAGACCAGCCTGGGCAAGTTGGCAAGCTCTCATCTCTACAATTAATCAAAAATTAGCCGGGTGTAGTAGCTTGTGCCTGTAGTTCAGCTACTTGGAAGGCTCAGGCAGATGGATCGCCGGGAGCCCAGCAGGTCAATGCTGGGGTGGCCATGAACGTGACACTATACTCAGCCTGGGCAGTGGAATGAGACGCCAACTCAAAAAAAAAAAAAAAAAAGTCAAGAGACTAGTGATATTAAAGCCCAAATCTTCATTATGAAAGATTCTGTGTTTTCTGTTGCCTTTCAAATTTCTTTATTTTAACATTCCTGACAAAGTTATAACTGGTAGCCTTCAATATAAAAGACAAAAGATATGAATTTAACAAGAAACTAAATATTGAAACTACCATTTTTTAAGACTTTTAATCAACGCATTTTAATATCAATTACCAGATTATTGTTATCTAAACAGTACAATATTTGTTTACTTTATCTGTTCAACTCTTGAATAAATAAATTTTTTGCTACTGAAAAGTACATACCTGTTCAAGTATTAGAAAACATCCTCTCCTTCCTTTCAATGAAACAAAATTTTAATAGATTGCAAATAAAGCCCCATTTGATATCAGATCTCTTTAGAAAATTTCTTATTTGCTTTTATCACCCAAAAAGCTAATTTTTATATTGAAAACATCATTTTCTTTATTTCATCTATATGGGAACTGAATACAAAAAGTAAGATAGTTCCTTTTTGTACGTATGTGTAAAAAAACATAAAAGTGAACATTTGCAAATAGAGATATTTGAAAAGATTATATTTTTATATTATGTTTTCACTTATTCATTAAAGTAAATATATTTGATATAGTAAGGAAATGTTTTAGGTGTCACTCAATTGGTTAGAGTGAGATTTAAAAAGAAAATCTTTAAAAATTCAATAGCAGCCATGTGTCTTGAGTATAGTAATGTCTGTGATAATTAATTCAGTTGTCCTGTGTGAGTTATATCTCCATGCTGCAGTCAAATGATTTGGTTTTGTTGCTAAAGGTATAACCAATCTCATACTAGCTATCCTCAAAATGTGACTTTTTTTTTAACAAGTTGGGCCAAGTAAAAGAAAATAGATGACGTTGTGCATGAAGATCCATAATCATCATTGAAAAAAAAAATGAAATACTAAGAAGGTCTTCTTAAACATCAAAGGAAAAGAAAGAAAAAAAATGTTTCTGGTTGTACTATTAGTGTAGGACATTCTAGCTGCATTGGATTCTACCAGAATACTGAGATTAGAACCACAATCAATTCAAAATATGGTAAGATTTATTCCCACCTGGTCTCAGAATATCTCATGTATTTTCCTATATAGTTATGTTATCTTCTGTGTGTGTGTGTGTGTGTGTGTGTGTGTGTGTGTGTGTGTGTGTGTGTGTGTGATTTATTGCAGAAATGAGGTCTCACCAAGTTGCCCAGGCTGGTCTCGAACCCCTGGAATCAGGCAATCCTCTCATCTCAGCCTCCCAAAGTGCTGGGATTACAGGCTGAGCCACCATACCTGGCCATGTTCTCTTCTCAATAAAATCCTTAATATATGTAGAAAGCAAATAAACTTCGATTACACTCAAATTTTTCTTCTTCATAGATTTAAGACCCATGAACAGGTCAGCAAGACATACTATAACTGAGTTTGTTCTCCTGGGATTCCCTGGTTGCTGGAAGATACAGATTTTCCTCTTCTCGTTGTTTTTGGTGGTTTATGTCTTGACCTTGCTGGGAAATGGAGCCATCATCTGTGCAGTGAGATGTGATCCACAACTACACACCCCCATGTACTTTCTACTGGGTAACTTTGCCTTCCTTGAGATCTGGTATGTTTCCTCCACTGTTCCTAACATGCTGGCCAACATTTTGTCCAAGACCAAGACCATCTCATTTTCGGGGTGCTTCCTCCAGTTCTATTTCTTCTTTTCACTGGGCACAACTGAATGTCTCTTTCTGGCAGTAATGGCTTATGATCGGTACCTGGCCATCTGCCGCCCACTACACTACCCCACCATCATGAATGGGAGACTCAGTGGCATGCTGGTGTCTTTCTGTTGGCTCATTGGATTCCTTGGCTACCCAATCCCCATTTTTTTCATCTCCCAACTCCCCTTCTGTGGTCCTAATATAATTGATCACTTCCTGTGTGACATGGACCCATTGATGGCTCTATCCTGTGCCCCAGCTCCCATTACTGAATTTATTTTCTATGCCCAAAGCTCCGTTGTCCTCTTTTTCACTATTTTGTACATTCTTCGATCATATACCCTGTTGCTCAGAGTTGTTTTTCAGGTCCCTTCTGCAGTTGGCCGGAGAAAGGCCTTCTCTACATGTGGTTCTCATTTGGTCGTGGTGTCTCTTTTCTATGGAACAGTCATGGTAATGTATGTCAGTCCTACATATGGCATCTCAACTTTGATGCAGAAGATCATCACACTGGTATATGCAGTAATGACACCTCTCTTTAATCCCCTGATCTATAGTCTTCGTAATAAGGACATGAAACTTGCCCTGGGAAACGTCCTGTTTGGAATGAGAATTAGTGAAAATACATGACCCAAAGATGTGCCATACTCTAAAGCTCCCATGCAGAACTAGGTGGAGATTTATCAGTTCTTTCAGCAATCTCTTACGTCTGATTAGTTAGAGGTCATATATTTTACCCAGAAGTGTTCCCAGCCCAAATACTTTTTAAAGGTCTGACAATTAAGTTCACAAACTTGCCACTATGCACTTATGTTGGTAACATTGTTTAACAACTCAGTAAGGTTTCATAACCTTGGTATATCAGTGTCTCGCAGCTGTGTTCACGTCAATGTGTGGCAGTGTCTTGCTGAGTCGCGTTATTATCATTGTTGCATGTTTTTGTGTGCCATCACAAGAATGTCAGAGCTTGAATTAGAGCAACAAACAAACATTAAATTTCTTGCTAATTTTGCAAGAGTGGAAGTGGTATCAGAGGCATGTTAGTCCAAGTTTATAGGGATAATGCCATAAAGAAAATGTGCAACATACAAATGGATTAAATGTTTTTCTGAGAGGAGGGAAAGTATCATTGATGAAGAGAGGTCAGGATGACCAATAACAAGTAGAACTAATGAAATCATTGCAAAAACCCATCAAACTGTGCGTCAAAATCATCAGCTGACTGTGAGAAGCTTACAGACTAAATAAACATCGATAGAGAAACAGTTAAGAAAATCTTAACTGAAAATCTCAGCATGAGAAAGGTGTGTTCAGAAATGGTCCTGAAGGAGCTCTTACATCACAACAATGTACAAGCTCACACAGGACTGTCTGTGAGGGAGTTTTTAGCCAGTAAACAAATAACTGTATTGGAACATCCTCCCTACTCACCTGATCTTGCCCCCAATTACTTTTTTCTTTACCTAAAGATAAAGGAAATATTGAAAAGAAGACATTTTGATGACATTCAGAGTATCAAGGGTAATATAATGACAGCTCTGATGGCCATTCCAGAAATATAATCCCAAAATTGTTTTGATAGGTGAACTAGGAACTGGCATCAGTGCACAGCTTCCCAAGGGGAGTACTTCAAAGGTGACTGTAGTAATATTCAGCACTTTTTTCTAGGATGAGTTTGTGAACTTAATTGTCAAACCTCATACACCTTAACTTACTGGTCTTCTACAGTCAGTAAAATTATTTTACAGCTTATTCTTATTGTAATAATCATTTTATTATTGTAATAATAAAATGGAGATGACTTCCAACGGAGATGCCCTATGGTTCACCTTTGCATAGCTTCTTCCTCATTGTAGCAAGACAACAAACCCAATTTTGTTCGATTACAGGTATGTTCCTGGTAGTCTTTGTATGATAGGAATCGACAGTAGCACTATACCCAGCATACAGTAAGGCTTCAAAAAATTTTTAAATATTTTTATCTCAATTTTTTACTTAAAAATAATGTGACAGCAAATTCAAGTAATTCAGAAGTGCATAAAAATGACAGATGTTCCATCTTCATTCCCATTTTCACCAGTCTTCCTCTCTGCTCTTCAGAGCAGCATAAGCCCACAGATTAGAAAAAAATATTTGCAAGTCATGTATCTGATAAGAGTCTAATATTCCAAATAGATTTAAAAACTCTTACAACTCAATGATTAAAAAAAAAAAAACAATTTTGTAAATAGGCAAAGGACATGAAGAGATATTTCTCCATGCAAGATATACAAGTGGCCAGGAAGCACATGAAAAGATGCTCAGCATCATCTCTTATTAGGAAAGGCAAAGCAAAACCACAATGAGACACCATTCACATCCACTAGCATGCTGAGAGTTACTAGCATGCCAATATCAAATGTCCAGGATGTAGAAAAATTGGAACACTTATGCATTGCTGATAGAAATGTAAAATGGTAGAGCATCTTTAGAACAATTTGGTAGTTCTTTGAATAGTTAAACAGAGGCCGGGCGTGGTGGTTCAAGCCTGTAATCCCAGCACTTTGGGAGGCCGAGACAAGAGGATTGCCTGAGCCCAGGTGTTTGAGACCAGCATGGGCAACTTAACAAGACCTCACCTCTACAATAAATCAAAAATTAGCCAGGCATGGTGGCTCACACCTGTAGTTCCAGCTACTTGGAAGGCTGAGGTGCAAGGATCGCCAGAGCCCAGCATGTCAAAGCTGCAGTGGCCATGAGAGTACTACTGCACTCCAGCCTGGGCAACAGAGTGAGAATCGAACTCAAAAAAAAAAAAAAAATAGAAGTACCATACAACCCAACAATTTCACTTGTAGGTATATACCCAAGAGAATTAAAAACATGTTTACACAAAAAAAGAACAGCACGATTCATAATAGCCAAAAAGTAAAACAGCCTAATTGCCCATCAACTAATAAAAGTATGAGGAAAATGTGGTATATACATACAATGGAATATTATTCAGTCATTAAAATGAATTTAAGTATGCTACATGCTACAACATGGATGAACCTTGAAAACATTATGCTAAGTGAAACAAGACACAGAAATCACATATTGCATGATTCTATCTACATAAAGGGTCCTGAATAAGCAAATCCACAAAGACAAAAAGTAGATTAATAGTTGCCAAAGACTAAGGGAAGGAGAGGATGGGAAGTAACTACTGCTAATGGGTACTCAGTTTCTTTTTGGGGTAGTGAAAATATTCTGGAATTGGATGAAGATGGACATACAACCTTGTAAATATGCTGAAAATTACTGAATGACACACTTTTAAAAAGTGATTTTTTTCACCAGGAAAATGCAAATCAAAACCACAGCACGATATCACCTCATACGGTTAAGATGGCTACTATCAAAAGAATGAAAGATGCCGGGCTCGGTGGCTCAGCCTGTAATCCCGCACCTTTGGGAGGCTGAGGTGAGTGGATTGATTGCCTGAGCCCGCAGGTTGCAGACCCGCCTGGGCAGCAAGACCTCATCTCTACAATAAATAAAAAAATCAGCTGGGTGTGGTAGCGCGCACCTGTAATTCCGGCTACTTGGAAGGCTGAGGCAGAAGGATCGCCGGAGCCCAGCAGGTCGAGGCTGCGGTGGCCAGGAGCGGCCACTGCACTCCAGTCTGGGCGACAGAGACTCCAACTCAATAAAAAAAAAAAAAAGAAAAAAAGAATGAAAGATAACAAAAGTTGTTAATGGGAGAAAGGGAAATTTTGTACACTGTTGGTGGAAATGTACATTGGTGAGGCCACTATGGAAAACAGTACAGATGTCTCTCAAAAAATTAAAAGTAAAACTACCATATGATCCAGCATTCCCATGTCTGGGTATATATCCAAAAGAATTGAAATCAGAATCACAAAAAGATATCTGCACTTGCATGTTCATTGCAGCATTGTTTTACAATAGCTAAGACATAGAAGCAACCCAAATGTCCATCGGTGGATGAATGGATCTTTTTCAAATGTGGTATATACATACAATGGAATAGTATTCAACCTTAAAAAAAGAAAGAAATCCTGCCCTTTGCAACAACATGGATGAATCCGACATATGCTAATTGAAATAAGCCATACATAGGACAAATATCACGTATATAATGAATGTAAGATAAAATCAGAGAGTGGAATAGTGGTTGTCTGGGTTGAGGGCAAGGTAAAACAATGAGGTATAAGTCAATGCATACAAAGTTTCCATTATACAAGATGAGCAAGTCCTAGAGATCTGCTGTATAACATAGTGCCTATGGATAACAATATTGTTTTGTATACTTAAAATTTTGCTAAGAGGGTAGATCTTATGTTAAGTGTTCTTATCACAAAATAACAGAGGAAAGTTTTGAAGGTGACAGGCTTATAGCATAGATTGTTGGGATGATTTCACAGGTGTAAACTCATCAAGTTGTGTTCATTAAATATGTACAACGTTTTGTATGCCAATGATAACTCAATTTTATTGAGATATTATTTGCTCTCCAAAGAAATCTGGAAGCAAAAAAAAAAGACTCAGCCCTATAGTTTTCTATTTTAAAACAAACAAACAAACAAACAAAACCTTGTCTTACCTATCCATTTGTGCTCTGCTGCCCTCTAGTGGCCATTATGCTTCCACACGATGCCTAAGCATAAAACAGGAAAAAGTTCAACCCACCCAAATGTAGTATGGAAAGGAGTATACTGGTTAATTAAATCTTCTAGTTAACTGAAAAGTAGCCAGGGGAAAAAAAGGCACTTTTGATGTTGAGTATTAAAACGTTTCTAGGGCCAGTCATGGTGGCTCACACCTGTAATCCCAGTGCATTGAGAGGCAAAGGCAGGAGGACTGTTTGAGCCCAGGGGTTGGAGACCAGTCTAGGCAACATAGTGCACACTTGTCTCTACAAAAAATGAAAAAAATTAGTTGGGCATGGTGGTGCATGCCTGTAGCCTTAGGTACTTGGGAAGTTGAGACAGGAGGATCACTTGAACTCAGGAGTTTAAGGCTGCAGTGAGCTGTGATTGTCCCACTGCACTCAGCCTGGGTAACAGAATAAAATCCCTACTCAAAAAGAAAAAAAAAACTAAGGTATATTTTCCCACTTTTATAACTTAGTATTTTAAAATAATTTAATCTTTTACCACACAAGAACTCCGAAAGTGTAATGTGTCAAGACAAGCAATGAACCAGTAATCAAATGATGGGGGTTCCAATCCCAGTTCTACACCAACTAGCTATGTGTCCTTACATGGTTCACCTCACCTCTCTGGTCTCAGCTCCTTTATCTTTAAGATAAGAAAGTGAATAAGTGAATTTTCTAGGCTTGCCTACATTCATTTTTTTCCCCTCAAAATATGATAGGTCTCATGGCAAGTACAATGTAGAAGGGAAACTAATAAGTAAACAATCAATTTTAATTTAGCATGTGTAGTGCTACAGCTGTGTAAATACAGGATGCAGTGCACGTGAGAGGAGCACATAGGCCAGTCAGGGTCTTCAGAGTGAATGGCAGGAGACAGGGAAATATTCAAGAAGTAAGATCTAAGCTGGCACCTGATGGGTGAATGGGAATCATCCCATGAGGAGGGATGGAGGAGGAGTGTGGAAGACAGGAGAATGTTTACCAAAAAATCAGAAATTAAAAGTAGTCCATCTTGACTGGAATATATAGTGC